TAGAGGCCTCTTTGAAAGTAGTTATGCCGTTAATAAATTATAAGTGCTAGTTCTAGAATTAGGTATATACTAGAAATCTAGTAATTTTAGGTTTTTCTTTATTGATTTTGTAAGTCTTTATGCTTCCTTTAATTAATTGCTTTTAAATATTTTTAATTAATATTGATAAGTGTTAGTTGACGAGTGAGGATCAGAGTAGATTGGCAGGTATGAAGGGGGACGAGGTTGATGAGCATTTGTAGTTATTTCTGAGACTAAAGATGCCTCATTTCTAGGGTGTTGTGGAGTCTTAGGTAGTTAATGATTGGTTGATTAGGGTAGTGATGTCTTATAATAATATGTATACGGGCTCAAAAAATTTGTGCTTTGGGCCTCAGCCTTTCCGTATATATTTAAGGAGAGTTTTAATAGATTATATTTTGGGGGAAAAATTTTAAAGGCTTATTAGTTAGAGACAAGACACTACATAGAGATTTTGCCCTCTTAGCGAGAACTTTAAGATCAAAGTTCTAGTTTCCTATAGACATAAGCCCATATAGTTAATTACACATCTCAATAACAAGAAAACACTTTAGATTAAGGCTATTTGTTGAACATATACTTAGCATCTAATGTATAGTAGCAATAATTTTAGATGTAAAATTTAATATTTAAATTTAAAAATTCATCATCTTTCACTTAAAGAGGGTGGTGGGGGAATGATAATGAACCCGATCAAGATCTTATAATTCTGTCATCTCGAGTTGTCATAGTCCCTAATCTATCTAGTTAAAGGAGATAGTTGACCAAATATGACCAAAGGATCATTATCAATAACCATGGGTTTCTTTATACAAGGGTACCTCAGAGACAAGGGGTGAATATTTATCTAAGGGACAAATTCAAGTCAACCTTAGCTAATAGTGGCCATGGGCGTTATGCCCTATCAATTATGTCGTATAATTCATTACTCAATGGTAAATAACCATTGGGGAACATGCAAGATTTTATCCATGATCATATGATATTGGATTCGTTTGACAAAGCATTTAAGTCAGAGGGCCATAGTTATAATCATTTACCAAATGGAGCTAGTCTACCAAGCCACAGGTTACTTATGAAGCTATCTGGCCAAACCACTAATTAGAGGACCAGTCATAACCATACCACATAAAGACGTATGCCCGATTTATGTGTTAAAGTGGAGCTGTACTGGCCAAGCCATCGATGAGTAAATATTCCATGTCATTACTAGTAGAATGTAATTTGAGAATGAATCTGAGTGACATCCTTAATTTAAAAATTCAATCTTTGTGAGTTAGAGTTAATCTTGAGTTCATCGCCCTCACTAAACGGTTGTTGAGGGTGGATGAGTTTTGCTTTAAGTTTTAGATAATTAAAATTTAATTTTATATATGAAAAATTTAAATAGATATTAAATTTTAGATTTTTTGTGGAATTTAAAAATTAACTCCTCTTGTTAATATTAGCTTTCAACACAACCATCATCCTGGATTTTAAAGTCATTTGAAAGAATTTATATTTCATAAGAATTTTGAGGCATTTAAAAGTGTAGTCCCCTTTGGTTGAGATAAAAATTCAACACGCCTATCATTAGGGATTAACATATTTAGTTATTTAAACCTTATCAACATTGTTCACTCGCTAACATATGATTTGGTTCGACAATCGATGATTATGCAAATGCTCAAATTGAGAAATTATATTTTTAAGATGAATTTCAATCAAAGAGCCTTTGAAGGCCCAATATGAACTTTAATATTAAATATCCTGGTGATATTTGAACTTTAATATTAAATATCCTGGTGAACTTTAATATTAAAGCTCGGGCTCACTGATAGTTTTTCATGCATCATATCTTTCCTTCTCTCTATGATAGGCACCTCCGCATGTGTGGATCATGGAAGACTACTAGACCTATGAGAGCACTATTCTATCTAGGGGAATTATGTTATCTAGGAAAAAACATCTTTATATGCCTCTTTGTAAAGTTCACCATATATAACTTTTGCATAAAAAGTCAATTTATATATATTGAATTAGAAAATAAATAAAATTAATTAAAATTTAATCGTATCAAGTATAATTATACCATTCATTAGTAAAGGGGCCACTTGGATAATTTTTTAGATGTCAGACTCAAATTTTTAAAGACTTAAACAATAGCCATCCATTTTTCATAAAGATCAAATAACATGATTTTAAAATGCCTAAGTACTTTAGGTGGCTTTCCAATCTAAGCCGATGTAAGCCCATAATAATATTTCATTAGCTAGGTTCGAGTTACTATTATATAGTGCTCAACCTAGATCTAGTATCTATGGAAGGTCTCAAAATCATAAGTCTTCACCCTCCAGAAATGTAATCATAATTATCTAATAAAATGCTAACTCAAATATAAAATTCTCTCTAAAACATTAAAGTCTAATATATGATACATTGGAGTGCTTCTAGGAGGTCTCAGAATCTCAAAGTACTACCTACTTATTAATCCTTTGTCTTCCAGAAAGAACTACTCCAAATTGATCTAATCCCCTTTAAAAATACTCCACCTCTCATCATTGTCTTAATTGTTGAACTCCAGAAAGAAAATATTTGTAACTAATTTAATTGAGAGTATTCTTAAGATATTTAATTTTTTTAGTATGTAATTAACCATAAAGGCTTGCCTTTATGGGGTAATTGTAACCCCATATTAAAATAAATCCTATCTTATTCTCATAAATTAGGGAAAAATCCTATAGGAATGTAGAAAATTTTCAAAACCCCATTTTTGTATTCATACGACATTATAGAGTGTCATTTTCACCTTTCGAGATGATATGATGCAATCATTGTGATGTTTGATGATAAAAATAGAGAATTTTCAAAACCCCATTTTCATCTTGAAATACTTTAATGGAATGACATCTGCATCTTTTGGTATGACATATTATTCTTCTATTTGTATTTGATTATGAAAGTGAATGGTATCTAAAACCCTACTTTTGTATTTGAAACTATTGTAGAATAATTTGTCTATCTTTCATAGATAGTATTTAATTCTCAATGTTGTATTTGATCACAAGAATAGGAATATCGTAAAATTACATGGGAATTTCTAAATTATTTTCCCATAGCAGTTAAACATATACTTGAGCATAAACCTATGTAAATATATCCACTAAATTATATCAAAATAAAATATACAAACTTTATTTAACAATCTACCACAACCCATATAGTATATGTCTCTGTCTCAATTTAGGAAAACTCATAAAAAAATCCATCGTCACTACTTCCCATTTCCACTCTGGAATAGGTAATGATTGCAAAAGACCTCATAATCACTGGTTCTTAGCTTATACTAACTGACATACTTCACATATTGAAATAATATTTGATACATTTTCCTTCAATCCACTCCACCAAAAATATCTTTTAGATTATCATACATTTTGTTACTCCCTGGATGAATAGTATACCCTAAATAATATGCTTCGTGTAGAATATATTCTCTCATATCTTTAGAATTAGGAATCCATAGCCTATTCTTACAAAAGGTGTCTCTATAATCAAACAATCGATCAACCAGCTTCAAATGCTTTATATTTGTATTATATGCTTCCTAAATCTTTTCATATAGAGGTGGTTAAATAATTATCTGATCCAGAACACTAGAATTTCAATCAACATGAGTAATCACTTCTTACTCTAACTTTTCTATATCTCGAATCTGAAGATTGTTAGAAGTAAATAGAAAGCTTGACACTTTAAAAGACATTCTACTCATAGCATCTACCACTATATTCGCCTTAGCATAATGATATTGAATAGTTAAATCACAATCCTTAATCAGCTGAACCCATCACCTTTACCTTAGATTCAAATTCTTGAAAGTAAATATATACCTCAAACTTTGGTAATAAAAAAATATCTCACATCTAACTATATATAAGTAGTTCATCCAAATCTTTAGAGAAAACTTAACAACAACAAGCTCCAAATCATGTGTCGAATATTTTTTCTCGTATAGCTTTTATTGCTTGGAAGCATGTTATAACCTTTTAGGTTGCATCAGAATGTAGTCTAATCATTTTAGTGAAGTGTCATTTAATACCTGAAATTTTAATGTACCTTATGGAATAGAAAAAAAAAACCAGTGCAAATGTCAAAAATGTTTTAGCTTCTAAATTTTGTTGGGCTTACAACAACTCAATGTGAATGGAAGCTCAGTCATCGCATTAAGAGAACTTTTTAGGGAAGAAGATAACTCGATTGAATTTTTCACAATTGTAAATACAAATAATTCCCCATGTTTAAAATTTGGTACTAAAGTTGGTGTGCAAGCAACTACGACTAAAGGAGTTATGAAAATGCCAAACAAAACTACCAAAGATTTGCAACCAAACACAGATTTTGCAAGCAACCGTCATACCACAAATTACCTGGACACAAAGTTGTGAAAATGCTAAACGAACTAGGTAACTAAAGTGTCATTATAGTAGGCTTTAAATTTCTTGTCTGGATTTCACAAGAGAATGATGAGCATGAACCATATTTCATGAGAGATCCTAGATTTCATGAAAGAGAATGACATGCAAGGACCCTATTTTGTAAGAGAACGAAGAGCACGGGCCGGATTTCACGAGAGAACCTAGATTTCACAAGAGAGGACTAAGGGAGGCTAGTTTTCGCAAGAGATGAAGAGTCTGTTTTATAACTACTTCCCGTACGAGAAAGAACTCACATTATTTTAGTGAATTTCAAATACACCTCAAAAACACTATCAAGTAAGTTTCAAATACTTCACTCTCTTACTTTGCATCAAACCAAATATTAAAAAAAAAACAAAAAAAAACTTATAATTCCTCATTTATTTTACAACACACTATAAAAAGCATGCAACCAAACAACCCCAAAATGTAATACTTCTTATTCAATTTTTAACACATGCAATGACTGGAGCTTTTTTTTTTTCCATTAATTTTGAGACAAATCATGTACTCACAAACACCATCTATGGAAGACCTCCAAGCAATTTTTATTGAAAACCTATGACTTACAAACATCAGCCGAAAACGGGCTGCATATGATTAAGAACATTCGAACATAAAATTTTATCACATCAAATATTATACACTTCTTGACAAATACCTATTTTTGCGTGTGACAGGAAAGATGCGGGCAACTATGCACCAATAAATTAATGAAAAATATCACAAGACAAGCTTAACATTCCATAAAATTTTTACTGAGATTAATACTATGTATAATATTTGAAAATTATACGAATCCCAGTATATATTCAATTATAATAATAATAATAAAATAAAAATATCTTGGGATAATTTATTTTTTATTAATTAGGAGCATCTTCAATCCGACTTTAGGAGTTATCCGGTAAGATGAGCCTTCGAGCCTGAAGGACCGTCTTCCTGAACCTCTCCAGATCAATCCTCAAATTCTGCCCATCAGTAAAAACCGGCCGACTCACATTATAACCCTTTCGATTGACAGACCATGGATCTGAAATCACCGGATGATGCTTCGGATACTTGTCATACAAACTGCTCTCCTCCACCTGGATATGGTACTCCACGTACCTTAACCCTAGCCGCCTAGCCGGCCGCTCGAAGTACTCTTTTGCCGCCCATTCCAACCCCCACGGAACTATTTGCAGAACGATACCCTCCGGCGGCAAGAACACCATATTCGTCAGCCCCGCCCCGTGCACTCCCATCAAAACCTTGCAGCGATTAACGAAGCCAGCAAACTGCTCTACTCTCTTCATCATCTCTGGTTTCGCCACCACCACATTAAACCCCGCCTTTTTTGCTATCCTAATCACCCCTTCCTCGTTCATCAACATACGCGACTTGTTCCGCGAGATGAGGACCAGAACGGGCTGATCTGGTTTGGCGAGGCCGGGGAGGTGAGGAACAGAGATCAGGGAGTCGTGGAGGAAGCGACGGAAATCGGAGGTTGAGACAGCGCCGGGTGGTTCGGTTGTGTTACAGAGGAGAGTGCCGTGGTATTTGAGCCCGATGATGGCGGCGGGGAAGCAGAGGACTTTGGACGGGGAACGGGAAGGAGATTGGATGATGATGGGGTCGAAGGCGGAGACGAGGCGGAGGATGCGATGGTATTTTAGAGACCAGTAGGATTGGAGATCAGTGATGACGAGGTGGAGATCCGGGCGGAGAGGCGAGGACGTGAGGAAAAGGGGAATGATAACGTCGTTTATGTCGTGGAAGAAGTTTCCCGCGAAGCCGCCGGCGGAGAAGAGAAGGGCAGGGGAGGAGTAGTGGAAGGAACAGGGAGGGGGAGTGCTGGGGGTGGGGAGCAGGGTGACGGGGGTGGTTCGGGAGATGGCGTCGGGGTCGTTTTTGCGAGGGTAGGGGTGGAGGATGAAGCGGCTGGGAGCGGATGGAGGGAGGGTTTGGCCGGCAGTCAAGTGAACGGTAATACCGGTTGAAGCTGCGGTTATTCTGACGGAGTTTTCTGTGATGCAAATGTCGGAGTGGTGATCGGAGATGCAGGTGAGCCCGTTCTGTTTCAGTTCGTGCCTGCCGCTTTCTGCGAGGACGACGCAATTGGATAAATAAATATATAAATTTTAAAGCTAATTTATAAAAATTATATACAATAACAATTATTCTGTGATATATAGGCCAATTAAATCAAGTTCACACCGATAACATATATGCCAATTAAATCAAGTTCACACCGATAACATATATGTGTTGTTGGTATAAATTTATTTTATTCGACTTAAATGTCCTAAAAAAAATGATGCTCCATTGGTGAAAAGTGCAGAGCTGCATGTGCCCTTTTAAGCGTGCTTGGTGTAGGTGCAACTAACATTTTATTCTTATGCTCAAACTGTGCTAGTTGGGACGAACCGGGCTTTGCCCTGGTCGCCAGTTTGATCCCCTTGGGTGGCCACGAAAAGTCTTAAGCGTCGGCCCGGTTGCTATGAGGTGGGTGGACCGCTAGGTCGACTGGGGATATTAGTGGCCGAAGGCTGATACACCCTGTCCTAAAAAAAAAAAAAAAGTTGGGACGGACTCTACTGATAGGTAGGCTGGACTAGAAAGCCAATAAAAAGGTTTTGAATGAAAAGGTTTATATTCTTACACCACTAAATGGAATAAATATAATGCTAAAATATTTTAATATAAATTTGATTCAATTTGAAATTTTAATTTATTTTTTTTATTAGAATTGATTTGTCTTAAAAAAAATCAGTTGGTCAACATAACTTTTGAGGCAATATTTGAATCTTAAATTTAAATTTAGGGCCATTGCAACTCTAATTCTTATAAAATTGTTGTTGAACTGTACGTTTTGATATTACAAACATATTATCATCACAAATGATTATATCTAATTGCTAAGTGACCTGATCAAGAAATTGAAACATATTTGAGTATTTTTTTTAACATTCATTAAGAGTAAAATGGTCTCCAAATATTGCTTATTTATAGTCATATTGAACGGCTTGACAAGGAAAATCTAACAAATAAACATTTACTTATACTCAAAATGATTTATGCATCAATTGAAATCACTTATCTCTAATAAAATTGTAGATCATTATAAGAAAAGAAAATATTTAATTACCGGATATGATCATGATGACCAATCTAATTAACCCTATGTTATTTAAGATCCTTCTGTGTTTTACTTTACCAAATCACCATGATTCTGGTTATGTAATTGATATGGGAAAGCGATTTTGCTTCTCTTATTGTAAAAGATAACTTTTTATTATAGAAATTAAAAAAAAAAAGAAATAGTAAGAAGACGATTATGATTGATAGCTTCAAAATGTTATAGTACTATATGTTGATTATGTTGGAAATATAAACCAAAATTAATGACCAAGTTGTTGGAAATATAAATCAAAATTAATGTTTAAGTTTTTTGTGTATCTAGTAAATTGTATGGAAGCAAAATCTAGAAAATACAATAATTCTTGGTGGTTGGTTGTTGAGTCTTTATTATAGAAATATATAGAATATGTTTCTAGAAATGTCTTTGTACTAGTATAAATATGCATTGAGTCTTGTCATATGGATGTAAGAGAGAAAATTTTATAATAGAAGTTCCTCTTGTTTTATCCTCTTCCACTCATTTGGAATAATTTCTCTCTAAAAGATTACTGATGCGTGAGCTATATGTATTCAAAGACTTGTGTTGTGGAATTATGGTCGATGGTTGTCTGTAATAATAGTGAACCAAAAATAATAATAATAATAATAATTAAGATAAGGTGAATTGGTATCTTGCTAGCTTCTTATTGCAGCTATCACGCGTGGGTCAAATGGGAGTGGCGTGTGATCCAAGTCTTAATACAATGATGCCTGTTAGTATGATCGGTATTCTTTTTTTTTTTTTTGACGACATAACGCCATTCATTTTGTTAGAATGCTGATATGTGAAGATTTTTTTTCTTTTACTTTAGAGTTAGATTAAACAATATAAAAGAATGAATCTCAACATTACAAGAAAAAATAATTTTCGCAGCAGTTTTGAAGGGATTTCCTAATGGTTTTAACCGCAACAAAAAATCTCACAGGGGTTCCAAAATCACTGCAAGGAGTTTTCACAGTAATTTTGGAACCATGTGTTGTGGAAATAGCTCATTTTTGATAGTCCAAATATATTACATAATAAGAAAATATATTAAAGTATAGTGTTAATGATCAGTAAATCAATGGTAGTTGATTTTGAATATGGCAGAAATAAAGGTAGTTTAGAAGAATGCTTGCTAAAAATTAATTGTTCTATGGAATTATGCAAAAGATATTAATAGAGGCGGACTCAGAATCTAAAGAGAAGGGTGACAAAATTTAAAAATTAGCTATAAAATAAATTGTCTTGAGCCGTTTAATTTTTTTAAGTATGATATAACAACAAGAGCAACATCATCAAGGTTTTATCCCACTACGTGGAATCGGATACGTGAATCATTTTTCTCGATTCTCCTATTAAGAGTTAACATTTTATTTTCTTAATAATCATAAATAGAATTAATAAAATTTTATTTTCTTAAATAGATGAGGACAAATGCACATTCCCATCCCCAAATTATATTTTCTTTCTTTTTTTTTTTTCCCAAATTTTATTTTCTTCAGTATCACAAATATTAAATTGGAAAAAATTGTAAATAAGAATAACCTTAAAAATATGCTTCTTTTATTTAAAGAGGAAAGATGGCAGAAGAGCAAAATATGAGTGTGAAAGAAATTACGAGAATTTGGCGGAATAGAGGGGATGAAACTGATGATTTCATGAATTTGGGTGTGGCAGGAGTGTAGATGATGGTTTCAAAGATTTTGTTGTGGAAGGGTAGAACATGAATTGTGATATTTGCATGTAATTTTTTAAATAATTATTTTTATAAATAAAAATATAAATTCTATACTTTAGTTAATAATTTAAGTATTTTATTTGAATATTTTAAAATATGATATATATATATATATATATAATTTAAATGATTTAATGTTATTGATAATTTAAATAATTTAAAGATTCTTATGCTATATAAATAAATAAAAACATTTAAATACATAAATAAATAAGAATCATAAATTCATCTAACTTTAATTGTAAAATATATGGCCCATCAAACTATTTTTTTTTAATGAAAATTTTTCTTTAATTACATAAAATTTGAGTTTGACCCTGTAGCATATTTAAAGTTGACAGTATCATCCACATTAATTAAAATAATAGCGAAATTTTTTTTTTTGGAAAACATTTGAAGCAGTATATAATTAAATAAAGTTAACCGTTCGAAGGAAACCTCGCACTAATGTCTGAAGCTGCAACTTCATAAACGCTGTTGACTGCTGGAAGTCAGTATAGCTAGACTCAAAGCTGATGCTGCTCCAATGGGATAATTGCTTCTTCCCTGCATCGATCAAAGCCATAATCATTCAAGGAAGAAATTCACACTAAGCTCTCCCCTCACTGCTCGACTATCAGCTTAGTAATGGCAAGAAGAAGAGAATTAAGTAATACTATACATGCATGAAAAGAGGAAAGGTTGAGCCGAAGGAGAAGAGCATAGAGAAGAGGCAAGAAGAGAAATCCCAGCACAAGCCTTCTTGAACCTTTCGCCATCTCTGATAACTAAACCAGCCAGCTTGTTTCCCACTTCTCGTTATGTAGAGGCATGAAGTAGATGTACTGCAAAGCTTGTTAGCTGAGGGGCTTAAAAGATCTATTTGGGATAGCTTAAGTATTTTATAAAGATGATTCTAAATTAATTGTCAGGAAACTAAGCAGCTGCTTCTTTTTATAATAAATGGAGTAGTGAAACTTTTGTAGGCCAGGACTGTAATATTTTTAAAAAGCAAATTATAGTTATAATCAGAAAAAATTAAATAGTAAAAAAAATCTCAAAATATATCTTAAATAGGAAGACTCCAAATTAATTAAATATTCTAATATGATTTGGTATAATAGCTGTGCAAAAAATAAAGCACAAGCACAAGATAAAAAGGAAGCTCCAATATGCCCTCCCCTCCATTAATTTGGTGAGTGACAAGGACTTCTTAACCAAAACCAATTTGGCCTACGTATGAATGCAAAACGCATGCCTACACATTCTTATCATAGCTGTTTCCCACTTCAAATGATCATTTCCTTAGTCATCATCATAAAAGCGCATGATATTTATTTAAAATTGTTGTAGTTATCTCTGATTTGATTATTTGTTAGTCCTTTTTCTCTGCATCGTCTATCCAAATATTCTTTTAATGATCATTTATCAGCTTCTTTTTTATAATCTGCAGCAGAAACTCTACTAAATGTTCCATTAACTAAATACTTTTCATGCTAATTGAGCACTTCAGCCTTAAGAAATTTCAACTGGGTGATATTCTCGTCTCTATCCTCACAACTGAAAGCTCTATAAATGTAATATATTGTCTTTATGTCACCTTCGAATCCTGTTCTCACAGAAAATAAAACAAAAGCTTGTCCCCACAAGAATTTGGTAGCTAAAATGCTAAATCCTTCAGGCAAAGCATAGCAATCTGAGTGATCGAAGAAATTTATAATAAAGATGGAGCAGTTTATTAACTATTTGTATGATTGTGCTGATACATTGTTATTCGCTTTAGCAATCAGAATTTTTCTTAGAGATATGATATCTTTGGTGCGATGTGCTTTTCTTTATCATATATTATCGGTCTTAAATAAACGAGACAAGATTGAAAGAAAATGCAAAATACGTATTAACTAAAGATGATGGATTGTTTATGCAAGTTAACAGTTAGAGATCTTTTCAGAATAGAAGCTTGTTGGTGGAAATATTTTAGGGTCTTAAAAAGGAACTTTTTTATTGCTTTATTTTTGAAGAATAATGTTGTATGTTATAAAATGTATGAGAGTGGAATAAGAGAATTTGGTATTCTAGTTTTACAAAAAGATCCCACACACAAATAAATAAATTTAAAAAGTATTTAATATATAATTGCTGAAATTTATTGTCATTATTGGTGTAATAATTTTAAGAAATTTATTTACAAGTAGCATGATCCGAATTTAGATATTGCTGATTTTTTTTTTCCAATTTGTGAAACTCATTATTGCATTTATGGAAATATGATGTTTTGAAATCTATTTTGCATGTTTGGAAGTATTTATTATGAAATCAAATTTAAAAATTCTTGAAATCAAGTTACATGCAATTTTTTTGGTGAAATTATTTTTTAAAACCTTTGTACGTGTAGAAGTTTTATTTTTTGATAATTTTTTTTGTTAATAATGTTATTTGTAATTCGATTAAAATTATCCTTTAAAATAACAAATTATTGTGAGCTTATTCTAATCAAATTATTGTTAAATATTGTAGTATTGGAAAGTGATCAAATTAAGTTTGTATTGAATTTTGAGACAGTAGAATTTTACTTAAAAGTTGGATACGCATGGACATTGGCATTGGATTGTTGAAATAGTCAAAATCTTTGTTTATGTTGTCTCTCTTTTTTTTCGTTTCTTGAACTTTTTTATTTATTATTGCGATAGCAATTGTGATCACTCTACTTATTTCTTATGAGTGTTGTATGGTAAAGCTTTAATTGAAAACACTTCTATCCTCTCCACATCAAATTTTTTATTTTGTTGATCTTAACCTTACCTTACTCCTAGGTTTTAGGTGCACGCTAGAAAAGTATTCATTAATTTGTCCCAAAGAGAATTCACCACATTAAGTGTACACTTTCTCGAATACATCACTAACACGAAATGAATTCAAATGGATTCAAGGAAAGCAACAACCATTTTTCTTTTGGTAATTTGTTTTTTAGATCGCAACCTTTGGTTATTACTTTTTTTACTACTTTTGAGAAATTTTTGTGCTATGAAGCTGCTTTTTACAATAACATTTAAAAATAGTATTTGGGGGGGTCGATAATAAGTGGGGCTTCTCATTGGTCGGATATTCAATTTGTCGAAGGCCTTATTATGAGATTTTTTTGGCTGCGATTCAAAAAATATGGAAGTTTAAAGGTACTCTTAACCTTCTTTCATTAAGTGAGGGCTTCTTCGTCTTGCCCTCTTAACACCTGAGGATTTTGAGATGGCCTAGATGGAGGGCTGTGATTTTTTTTGGGTAAGCCCTTTATTTTATAAAAATGGTTTCCCCTATTTTGCCCAAAGAGGGATGAGTTCTCTTCTATTGTAGTCTAGATTAAGATCTTGGATCTTCCTTTAGCTTGCTGGAACCATAATGTGATATCAAAAATTGCTAGTTTTATTATCACTCCCCTTGTAGTTGATCCTTTAATTGCTGAGAAAACTAGGTTAACTTTTACCTGTGTGTGTGTTCAAAATGGAAAAACTTATAATTGTTAGATGAGATCCCCATTTCCTTGTCTAGGAAAAGTATCTCTTTGAGGGTTGTGGTTCCCTGGTGCACCCTTCAAACATTTGTCCATTAAAAGCATATGTCAATCCCGTTTCATGTACTTTCAATAGGGGTTTAAGTAAACGTAGGAAACAGGGAGGAAAAAGCAGGTCCAAGAGACCTACTTCTTTAGCTAATAAATAAAGCATATCTTTTTCTACCACCAGACATTCTACTAATCAGTCCAAGGTCTTCAGTGGTGTGAAACTCTCCATGGATCTTCTAGCTCAAACTTTTGAGATGTCCAACCCTCTAGCCATAACTTCTACGTACTTAGCAGACACTTATTAAAGAACACATTCCTAACTTAAACTCTCCATCACAAAAAAAATAAAATATTTAAAATCATTTTTACTCCCCCCTATATGTGTGCATGATCACCAATCTAACATACATCATTACAAGACTTGACTCAAGAAATGAAAATTACATACTCATTTAATATAACTAATTTTACACAATCTTGAGCCTTGAATCCTCAAAGAATGGTGCATGATGTATCTAAAATATTACTCAATACACAAACGAATATGCACTACAAATATTAAGAGAAATAAAATATTAATTAATATTATTTGTTATAATCAAATTCATAAATTTGGAAGCCTGAGTTGCAATAAAGATGAGTATTTAGAAGCTAAGTTTGCTTGATTTGAATTTTTCTACATTAAGTTATGAATTTTAAAGTTTTGAACTATTTTTGAACTATAATTGACCAGATTTTTTACTTTTTTTTACTTTGGTGGTTTGACATTTTTAGTATATACTAGACACATAATGGAGTTAAATTCTTTTATGTTTTATCAATTTAATTTTTTTTGAAATTAATTATGAATTTTCAAAGTTTAAGTAATTAATTGAAATTTGAAATTGGTTAATTAAGAAGGTTTTTTATTGTTTTGATCCAAACTCATTCCAAACTTCATGGAATCACTCCCAAAGGTAAGGGAAAACCCAAGTGAGTGTTTTCAAGTGTTTAGAATTTACTTGAAATTTTTAAATAATTTTAACTAATTAAATTAATCAATTGTTAATTTTCACTAAAACTTAAATTAAGTTCAATTAGAGGTTTAGCCAAAGAGATTTTAATTTTTTAAGTTAAGGGGTTAATTATGGTCAATTTTTTATATTATTTGTAATTTTTGGATTTAATTTAAATTTATTATAATTTTTTGAATATTTAGATTTAATTAAGGGGTTAATTCTGAGTTAATTAAATATTTACCTTAATGGCTTTTAAAACAAGTAATCTCCTAACTTAAAATAGGTAGTACCACTATGCTTAAATATTTTAAAACTTACTCTTATTAGATGTATAAATTATTTCCTATAATTTTCCCAATATGTTAAAGCTTGTTTTTAATTTTTGTCCTTAGGTGTCACTAAGGTGCATAGGCTTGAAATCAAAGTCTTCTAAAGCTTGACAAATGCACAACCAGCCATACCATACAAAGAATCAATAAGCATGTGACCTACATCTAAGTACATAGAAACGGGTGAGTATCCAAACACATGGATTAACATATAACCCAACCATTTGGAAATTCTCCCAAGAACAAATCTCTCTACACATGATGCGCGCTTTTCTAGATGGTGTCTTGGCAAGGGAAAACACTTTCCATAAAAACATAAATCAAATCCACATACAAATTAAAGTCCATATATGATAAATATGCAAATTAGCATAAGGAATGCTTGAAAGAGTCCTATACTAGCATGGGATTTGATTGATCTAAATCATACATAGTTAAGCTTTGATTTAAAATTTCAATGAGGGGTTAAGTGGATAGAGAGGGACTTAAGCTTATCTAAAGTTAAACTTAAGAAAAATTGGTTGTAAAAGGAGCCATATTCTTAAAATTTAATATTCATTGAAATAAAACATAAATAAGTATAGGAAAATTACGAGAAATAAAAAATGGCATAGAAATCTTCTGATCAAAACGTCAAATTATTTGGAATTACATTTAATAAAATATTAATTAAAAATATATATCTAATATTTTAAATTAATCAAAATCCATAAAGAATCTTTAATTTAATATAATTTTAAATAAAAGAGAATTAAATTTTGGAGAAAATGAATATTTATATGTGAATTTTTCATAAAAAACTTTATTTAATACAATTTTTCAAAGTCTCTAAGTTTAGAAATGGATTTAGAATTAATTAAAAAGGAAAAAGATGATGGCGGCGATGGTCTACACGACAGCCTCCGATTGGTTAGATGAAACCGTAGGCTAATCATTACTCGATGGTGTAATAATGGCCAATGATTGTGTGGTGGCAATCATTGGCCATTAAATGGTGGACACGGAGAAATGCTACTACGATAATTTATCTGAGCATGCAATGACTCAGGACCGTTGGATCACCCATGGTTTGGATTGAATGATCCACATAAAGCTGGACAAAA